AACTTGAAGCCTTGCTCATCAAATTTTTCCAAAGATAAGATACTCCTTCTGAGGATTAGAATATGTCTGACACCAAGGTTGTCCATATGCCTCTATTGAACATCTTGATTCTCATATCTCTAACTCCCATTATTTTACATGAGTAATTATTTCCCATGTAAACAATACCTCGCTCACATAATTGGTACCTTTGTAACAACTCTATGTGGAGTAATGTGAAAATATGCACCTAAATCATGTAGCCACTATTACAAAACATCCTCCCTATCTACAAACAAAACTTCATCATCTTCAAAGAAACTCAATTTCTTCTATTAGATATCATTGAGATCTACTTGAACTAGGCTTCTCATGAGAACCATAATTAGGTTCTTGTTTCCCCTTTGTGCCTTACAATCTTTCTTCATATTGCCTAAGTTTCTATAAATCTTCACCTTTTATGCCATCTTGATTTGGATATGGACTAAGCTCTTGCTGTAGTTCTCTTCATTGATTAACCCCATGCTACAAACATATTCCTAGAAAAATTGTGGCCAAACTTTTGCTTAGACTCCTCTGTTAAAAGTGTTGAAATAACGTAATCAAATTTGAAAGATTTCGTACTACTGAGATTCATGATCAATCCATCCCTTTATTCTGGTATAAAACAAAGTAATATAGTTGTTTATCTTTCATGCTAGAAAAATTGTATTCCTTCCAAGAACTCCTATACAACCATATGAAGATATCAAATTGCCTATACATTTCAAGAAAAAACAATTTTCTATTTGACTAGCTTTTTAAATGACCATTATTAATAAACCACTCGGACAAACCATTTCTAAAGTAGGTGTGTATTTGCCAGAAGATATATTCACCCATGAACAACTATGTCGCTCTATCAAGAGGAGTTTCTACCGAAAACACAAAAGTCCTCATTGAGCCACAATTAATAGAACAACTTAAATACCGTTATACTAAAAATATTGTTTACACGAAAGTTTTATTTTAATATAAAATTATGCATAATTTATAGATATAACTTGATAATATTATTCTTCTTAAAAATGAAAAAAAAAATATAAACATTTCTCTAATTCTACCACAGAGAATGGAACCTTCATCATCTCAAAGAATCACATATATATCTTTGCTGACAGTTGCGATGATCAAAGAAATATTTTCCTTGAATGCAAAGTTCTTCGCATTTTACCAATGGCCTCATACTACGGGCATTACCAAACATTACTTAAAGATTGTTTTCCTTGACAAAGAGGTATGTTGCCTATTAAAAGAGTTACAGATTTATATGACTTTTTAATTAGTATGTCATTTCTAAAAGTTTTGTTTATACAGTGTGATGAACCTCTTGGCACAATTTTCCAACAAGACTCGCCATTATTCCTACCGACGTTCAAAGATGCATATTTATAGAATAAGAAATACAAGAGTAGGCCCCATAAGTGATCAACACAAAGTAGTGGAAAAGGACATCGAAATAACAATTCATTCATAATTGACTGTCCCTCAAATTGAAGGTAGGGAAGAATTACCAAGTGAAAAAAGATACTTCTTTGATAGAAAAATATTAAAAAAATTAAAAAATATGATAATGCATAGAAAAAATATGGAAGTGATATATGTGATAGTAGGTATTTATTTTATTTGTTAACTACAAAAGTATTAGTTGTCGGATATTCTGTATCCATTATCCCCTGATAGAAACTAGAAACTTGAAACTAGCTTCATAAAACATTCAACAATCAACAACCATAAGTACAAATCTACACTACAAACTTTAAAGTTACAAAGTACTACAAAATACAAGTTCACGAAGATTAAAGAAGTTTAAAGTCAAGCTCAAAAAAGTCAATATAATCATCAATTCATTAATCATTTATCAAGTCTTGAGAGTGATACTCCAAATTATAAATTTTCAACACAAAAAATATACAAATTAATAACCAAATATCAACAGATGCACAAATCAAAGAACTTCATTGTTGTTTGGGGGGGTTTAATAACGCTCCCCCCTGCCCCAAACCCTTTCCCACAAATTTTGAAGGTTCAAAAGACCATTTTACCCATCCTCGAGGGCTGCTGTTTTGAAAAAAAATTGCTTAAAATTATGGGGCATGACGAGGTGTATGCGCTATGCGGCTTTGATGCGGCACATATGTGGGCGGATCTCTCCAAACCGAATAAGTGGTCAAATTTGATGCGGTGCCTAGTGCATAGCGCCTAATCCAACCGCATATGCGGTGATGCGGCTGCATTTTAAAATATTGTCTAAAATACTCCTAAGCATTAAAGTTATTGAATGATGGAATAAGGGTATCATGTGTCCAAAAATGGTGAGTACTTTAATGAAATACTGTGCATATATATATATATATATATTTAGGAAAAAGTTTATATAGAGCCAAAGCTCTAAACAACAAATTAGAGCCACCTCAAAAATTTTACTAGATGAGGTTGTTTTGATGCCCAAATATCCTCAAATTGATTATCTCGACATCAAGATGCATGGACATGAGAAAAAATGGATTTCAAGTTTTGAAAATAGTGTATTTTGTAATACATTTTTGGACTGTCAATTTTCAAGTTTTTCAAGTTTTCATAGATCCGTCGATCTATATTATTTTTGAGGCTTTAAACTTTATAAATAAAGATGAAAATATATTTAAAGGCTATCACAATGATTTCCAGTATTGAAACTATATTTCTCGATACTATTTGAAAGTAAGCTCTAATTTGATTGTTTAGAGCTTAGGCTCTATACAAACCACACCAACAATACTTCGCCTACACCTCATCACCGTCCAAAGTTCATCAAACAACCACAATTGTCCTGTAGTATTTGAATTTTTATAATTATTATACTAATCAAATTTATCTAAAATTTGGGACGTGTGTAACCAAGTTGCACCAAAATAAAATATTAAAAAATAATAGAGATAAAATTACCCTTGAAACTTTATAGGGGTATTTTGCATAATTTTTATCATTCAAATTATTTGTTTTATATTTTATTCATGTGCATCTCACTAAGGCACACATACCTACAAAATTTCAGATCATTATGGTTTGTAAAAAAAAACGATTAAAATTAAAACATTATCAGACATCTGTGACCATATGATAAACTTTGAACGGTAATAAAACCGTAGGTGAAGTATTGTAGAACTTCACCTATAGGCGTTTTGTAGTATTTTCCTTATATAT